GTGGGGAAACTAGATGTAATTTTTCAAGCCCACCACATACCCTGTCTGGACAGAGTCAGGCTAGCTGTATCTGGGTAGCTGTACCAGGCCTTCCAGTCTTTATGCTAAGCTAACCCTATAGCCTCCAGGCATTAGCTTCAAATTAAACATACAGACACAAGAGTGCCAGCTATCTTCTTCTCTAACTCTCGGCAAGAAAGCAAATAAGCGAATTTTCCAAAATGCCAAACTATTCCTTTAACTTTGGTCTCTCTGAATTTTGAAATTACACTAAATACAATTATACTGACAGACTGTAGGAAGTGACTGTTTATACTATAATGTAATTATTCAGTTGATGAAGGCCATAATCGCCTACAATACTGTAATACTGTTGATATATAAAGACAAATGGACTGTATTGTATAGTATATTATACTATATTGTGTGTGTATATAGTGGATATTATATTGAAAACAAATCACAGCTTTACCATGTTATCATGCATCATTAACAATGCTTTTATTTTGTCAAAACATAGTAGCCCTGGTAAGATATCAGACTGCAGTGTGTTTTGAGGACACATGCGGGCTGATAAAGCATTTTAATATTTGTGTGTTTCTTGGCTCAGGCAATATACAAGCAAATGTCCTTCCACTTGAGCAAATATGTGGTTTACTGGGACAGATGGGGCTAACTATAGCATCAAGCCCCCCAAAGACAGAGCATAATGTACTTCAGGGCAGCGTGACATTGGCAGAGCATCATTTGAAATTTGCACACAAAGCTGACGTCGCACTGTCAGCATTCGTTTGATGCGCGACGCAGCTGCACACAGAACAAAACGCCCAACCTGTCTCAGTGCTCGACTCTTTCTTCTCCACCGCCCGGGGTTTGGCTTCAAACATGTCCTGCCCTTGGAGCGGTAGGGGGGGTCCCCGCTCGCAAACACAAAGCTGGACAGAAAACGGGAGCACCTGTGCGACATCACATCCTGGTCCTGCGCCGATGTGTGGTGCCTACGCACACACCTTTACCTGCGGAGAGAAAGGTGAGGCGTGAAAGCAGCAATGGTGGTGTGTGTGTGTGTGTGTGTGTGTGTGTGTGTGTGTGTGTGTGTGTGTGTGTGTGTGTGTATGGAACTCCTCTGACTCCAGGCTATATTTTCTTCTTCCCACTTGGCTGCTGCCATTTAAAGCCAGATGGGTGTTTTTCCACTTGGACATTTAAACCACTGATTGTCTGGCATCTCTTTCAGGGTTTGTCAGATCGATCTTAGATGTCACACCCATTTAAACTACATCAGTCAAGCCTTAAACTCCCAAGGAGCTGCAGGATCTCTACTCTCTTCCTTCTATCTGACGAAAGGCATTTTTAAGATATACAGTATAAAAGTCACTCATTAAGCTTCAGCAGTTAAAGTTAAACCAGGCCAGCTGCTGTAACTCAGATGTATTTTCATTTCCTTCTTATGTGCAACATACTATTTTAAACATAGGTGTCATTTACACTGGGGACATGTCCCCACCACTTTTTGAATGCATTTGTTAAAAATGTTCTGAAAAATAGTTTGCAGCAAGAAATGTTTTGAGATTTTTTTGGCACAATAAGAAAACATGCAATGCTTAAGCTATAAAAAAAATATTTACTGATTACTGTATTATATTCCATTATATTTTTATATTCTGAATTGTCAACAGCCATCTGAATTAGTGTTTCCCTCTATATAAATAAAGACATTTATTGGTGCAGAAAATGTCTCCAGAATGCGGGAAGTTAAGTGTTTAATGCTCAAAATCTTATGAATGAATATTTCTTTTAAAGGGTATTAAAATATCTTCTAGTCTTGTTCTCATGACCCCAATATTCTGCTTTGTCACGTCTCGTGTGTCTTGTCACAACTCTAATCTGAGCCCTTAAACGTCCACACCACTTTTCAACACTAGTGACGTCCTTGGGGGGCAGATGGATGAGAGAGGGCCCTCCCACATCCTGCTGCCTTTCTCTGGAGGAATGAGACAGGAGGGCCTTAAAGGGATGAGCTCTCTATAGAGAATTTAGAAAATGAAAGACATCTGACCTGCTGTGGACACATGCTTGTTGTTGGCATCCACCTTTGGTGTTCATTGTCTTTCAGTAGTCTGTCACACCTAAACGGCTATCACTGCTTTTATTATATTTATTTACATATTTCTTCTGTACCAAATTACCCGCTGCTGCCGGAAACATTAAAAACATTAAGTAAACAGGGATTGCAGCAATTTAGTGTTTCATTTCCATAAACTAAGGAGGCTTGCGAGAGACATTCAATGATAAATGAAAATCTGAGCAGCAGAGGTCAAGATATTGTGACTTTTAGCCCTAGTGATGCCCTAAATACTCTGGCTCCTACACTTCCCATAATGCTATTGATAGCATTTTTCATAACATCCTTCCGGCCTGATAAACACTTGCATGTTTCAAGCTCCTCATCTCCAGTTTGTTATGTCCACTTTAAGTTAAAAATGTCTCCAAGCCCAAGCTGAGACAAACCTGATGACTGATCACTATGAAATCATCGGGGTTATTTTCTCAAACTATCTGGAAAGCTACAGACTGTTTTCATAGGCTGAGTAGTCTCCCTCAAAGTGGATAGAGGTGTGTGTTATTGTGAATTTATGTTGTGAAGAGTAAAGAGGAGAAACTGTTTTTATAAGAAAAAGCCATGACGAGCTACTTTACTAAGAGGATACTGTGCATTAGCATAGCGCCTACCATCATTTACAATCCCAGCACCATCTGCATCCCTGACCTTAGTGCCTGGTCTGTGCATGCAGACCGATTACATGCATATCTGTGTGGCTGTGTGTGTATCAGTAAGCATGCCTGTGCAAAGACAGAGTCCTTGGGCAACATTCATCCTCTGCTTACATAACAGTGAGGCTGAAACTGTTTGCTCCATAAAGAGATTATTGTGAGGCACGCAATGCCGCAGCCTAAATGTGCTGTTTAGCATTAGAGGCCTGGCAGATACACTGTACTGACCCACTAATGACACTGATATTGGCTTTATAATAGTCACGTTCATATTAGAGCTAGGAGCAATCCTGTGTACAAAATACTGCATAAATTAATCATCTTCAAAAGAAATCCATTATGTCCATACTCATCATGGAAACATCGTTCAGATGCAAGTTTCTTCTTCGTTTCCATGATATAAAGTGCCTGTGAGTCATCTCATGAGTAACGCTATAACAGACAGACAGGTTCTTGTTTGAGATGCAGCCCGATATTCTGATTTGGAGAAGTAATATTTTAGACATTAAAATAGCAAGAGATGCACTTCTAGTCCCAGGGCCTCTTTAACTTCTTGACAAGGTTAAACAAAAATATAGATAGACAAAACACACAACACAATTTCCATTAGATCACCATTCTGACCACAATCTGAAAAACCACCACTTAATGTTGGTAACAAATTATTGCCAGGTGTAAAATGTCAGCACAGCAGCCCTGCAAGTAACTCTGTAAAACACAGACAACACAGCAGCATTATACACAACACTAGTCAGGCCCAGCTGTCCCAGAGAGACTGTCTGCTTACATCAGCTTTTCTACAGACTTTATCTCCCTTCATGTCTAATCTGAGCGTCAGCTGATGCTCTTATCCAGAGTGACCTACAACAAGTGCAGCCGAATAAATGTCAGAATCTGAATACCATGCTCGTATTTATAAGCTGAGGTCAAAGCAAATAGCACAACGCTACAAACTACAAGGAGTTCTTTCCCCTCCACACCTGAAACTCTAACCTCAATTTGTGTAAATGTGGAAAGATATCCTTCTAGGCTTTTCTGTTGTTTCCAGTTGCCAGTCATTTGCCGTGCTTCGCCGTCTCCATATGTGCTGTATCACAGCGTCTGCACTCAGGCCATCTTAAATCTGACAGGGCCTGCTTCAAAAGACATAGCAGCATGTGACACTGACTGGACCGGAGACGTTAACGAAACAACCAGAAACCTCTTAATGGAACATCAGCAGACTTCCCTCGCCATGCTGTGCCAAAAGTACGGCTGTCTTTTTGCACTTTGGTAAACACCGACTGACATTATTCCCCATTTTCTGACTAATAAACCATCTACTGTATCTACTAGTCAGTTAACGTACCTATGAGGAAAATAGGACTAATAACTTTTTAATGAATCCTCATGGGGTCAAGTTTCCAAGTCGGCATGACATCAACACACCACCAAATTTTACATGTAATGCAACTCTCCTTCTGTCATCTTCCAGTGCCTTGATGGGCTGTGTATTGTTATCCAGTGCTGCTTCATGATATCATTTACGTGCAGACTTACCAAAAAGATCCACAGTGTAAAATAAATATATGTTAAATTATCATGATTTTAATATAAGTATCGTTGACTAACGACACTTCCAGACCTAACTGCAAACAGACTGTTTCTTTATACAGATTATATATATATAATGTTATATATTTATATGTATAATAAATGTTATCGGATCATATGAAGGCTACGAGCCACCGATGATGTTTATTGTTGTTAAGATAGCTAACCTATAAACAAAAACGTTTAGCAGGCCAGCTATGATTTACCGTTATGAGCTAAACCAACAGATCAGATTAGTTGTTGGTCCTTTATCAAAATCTCCTTGATTTTAATCCACTATTAATATATTTGCTAAATATTTAGCATTAAGTTAGCTAACGCAAGGTTTCACATGTATGCTGGGCGCGGATGACAACTGTTAAAGCCACCGACAAACTGGCAGCCTCCCTCACTAGAGGTGACTAATACTAGCATTAAATGAATGAAAGGTAATGTTTAATTTTAATAAAACGTACCTATGTCAATGTTACTCCTCAGCATGGGCAAGTCCAGTGTTCACGCCGTGTGTATCGATCCTTCACCAGAGCCTGAAACAATAGACGGGAAGGGAGGGAGGTGGCAAAACAACCGTCATAAACGTGCGACAGCGAGCTGGGTGACGTTTTTATCAGGCGACAAGTATCTGTGTCAAATTAAAAGTCCTGTGAGAAGAAAAATAAATTTTCTCTTTGGGGTGTTATGCGCGTCGACACTGACAGTATACCCCGGTACTTTCTGCACACCCCGTTATAAAATAATGTGAACTTTATAGACAAAACGAGGTTTAGGATGTCAGACTCTCCTTGGTGTTTTTAACTTGTTTACGTCGAAGAGGTGCAGCTGTCGAGGGGAGAAGGTAAGCAGCTTCGTTTTTATTATTACAGGGTTACTTAAATAAATATAAGACCCATTTTTAACTGAGCTAGCTCGATGCTTGAACCATGCAAACATTATCTACATTAGGAGTAAGGTAAGCCGAGCTGGACTGTCCTTCACATAGTTAAAAATCAAGAAATGTAAAATAATGTTACCAAAATGAAACGATTCGCCTGTTCGTTTGCTAATATTCATTAACAGGCGACGTTAACCCTCTGTTTGCATTATAGCTTCGTCTGATTAAACTAAAATGGCTGCAGTTAATCTAACCTTGAAGTGGGATTGAATCTGAAATTATTGGTGGGTTTTTTGGATTGTATTCAAGATTCAACACTTGTTGACACATCACCTCGTCTTTGTAACGTTACACCATAAACAAAGACCCCTGAGCAAAACATTGATATTAACGCGCAGCCCTGTGACCAAACACCGGACTTTCATTCACACTTTTTGTTCCGACGCCACTGAGTCGACTGGCCGGACGGGGATCTCCGCCGGTGAATCACTCGCATCACATCTCCTCCGATCCTTAGATCAGCTGATGCAGCCAGGTGAGGTGCAGGCGGAGGGATGAATGGCTGATGTTGGAGGGAAGCTGGCTGCTTAGTGGAGGATCCTCCGTTTGTCTCATATTACACTGACTGCGCATCGTCGTCCCGTCTCCCGCGGCCTGTGAGCGGATGAATGCCAAAGCCTCTGATTTCACCATCGCCAAAAGGACTCCATGTCTTTCTTGGTAAGATTATCGCGCTGCATGGATTTTGCTTTGTGCCTCACCGAGTAGATGTATCACGAATCAGTTTGCTCATGCTGATGCCTCTGGTGGGATGTGGCAAATTCAATCAGTCTTTCAAGTGTGTTTAAAAAACAATAGTAAGTGCTTTCAGATAGGATGCACCAAAATGTATGAAATTTGAGTTATATGAGCTGTCAGATATTCTTTAGATAGCTTATCTGAGAATGTAAACCCTTTGCATTTACGGATATATTATAAGCTAATATCACAATCACATTTATTGCCAAGTTGTTTCTACATATACAAGGAATATTGGCAGCCAGGTGCGCAACAACAGTAAACATAAACCTATAGAAATATAAAGATATCTAAAACATATGAGAATATATACAAGTATTTACATGTGCAATAGAAGAATCGGAGTCATGAAAGTCAGAGTCAGTGGGGGTCCCGGTCTTGTTGATGATGTATATGAAAACATTAGATATTAATATTGGCTGTCAGTGCATCCCTCACATCTAATTATGTATGCAGCTCTTATCTTTCTCTGTTGGGGCACATCAGTGAGTCAGCCGCCTCTTTGTTGCCTGTTATCATCACTCTAATTCTCTCACCACTTCCAGTGTTTTAAAAAAAATGCCCTGTAAGTGCCTTCACAGCCCATTTCCCAGATGCTTGCCGCATCTCTGAACCCCCCCTCCTGACCTCCCCGAGGCAGTTTATCACCTTCCACTTCCAAGCTCCGTGTTTCCTCTCCACTCTTCCTTGTCCTTGTAGGGCATGTCTCACCTGTGCTCCTTACCCTCCCCTTCCCGCCCTTCACCAGGACTGTTCCTGCATCTCCCACGCTCAGGTCCAGCCCTTGGACATAGAGGAGCGCTATGAGGACATCAGCCACCAGTTCCTGGTCAGTAGCCAAGACCCTGTCAGCATGGAGACAGGTGTCACACTGAAGCTCTGCCATCATTTCATAACTATTCATTTATCATCTATCTGAAGCTGCTTAACCCTTGCCTTAAAGCTGCAGAAGACTTGTTGTTGTAACTACTGGAATAACGTGCAGCTGTTAAAGCTTTTGGTAATGCTTAAAGGGGTACTCCATCAATTTAATATTCCATTAAGGTAAGGGGATTCACAAGATATAGATTAAAACAAGAGAGGTCAAAATTTGTTCGAGGCTGAGACATCCTGATTTTAAGTCCCTAGTATGGGTCAAGCTCCAAAAACAGTGGATACAACAATTCCCACAATGCAACTCAGTCAGGTTGTTTTTTCCTTACACATTTTATGCCTGGTGAATGCCCATACCCCTTATTAATACTCCCAGTTTATAACACAGGCTTTTTGTAATGAAGTCTCAAGCCTAAGTCAAGATAACCCAGATCATTTTGACATCATCAGGAGTTATTTTTGACATGACAAAGCTCCTCCAGAGCCACACAAGACATTATACAGCCGGCTGAATAGCACTTAACATGGCGAGTAAACTGTATAACGTGTAAAATCAGTGTAGAGACTCTTTAAAGCATCGCCTTTAATCACACATAAAAACTTTCTTTGCAGGATTTCACCATAAAGTTTGCCTGTTTCATGATATTCTTCTACTATTATAAGCCTTTTTAATGCAGTCGTTAATATTTAGTAGTAATAATATAACTACTACCTATTAATGTACAGCTAAGGTGTTTAAGGTCACTTTCCCCCTGATTATACAGACAAAATGCTGGGACAGTATGGATGGTAACTATAAAACACATTCAGCTGGTGTGTTTTAAAGCTGCATCCGAAACATCGGCCAGCTGTCTGATGTTGAAAGACAACAAGACGCTATTCTGTCCCAAAAATGTGTCTGTATCACTACAAATGCAAGCATCCATCTCTCCCTCCCTTTGGCGTCCCCTCACACATTACCCCACCACCACAGAACTGGTTATTGAGTAGGAAACATAACTAAAGCTGCAGTAAGTGATATTTTTCCTTGTACCACAGCACAAAATGATGACAGTATAACTGAAAAGGTTTTGTATTTCATTTATTTTGTGCTGAAACTTAATCCACCCCTACCCTGCCTACTCACAGTATCAGCTGCTAAGTGATGTTGCTCCAATCCAGCAGCATTTCAGTATTTTCGGTGGCACTGTTTTATCTCTTCACTAAACATTTGTGTTGGATATCTCCTGCAATTAAATAGCTTACTTGTCTGTGCTCTGAAGATGTGACCGTCTTGTTTGTACCAGTTACAGGGGAGAGACAGGCGCTCCACCACTTTGGTCCAGACTGAAATATCTCAACAACTATTGAACGGATTGCCATGAAATAAACAAATCCTTGTAACTTTGGTGATTTCTTAACTTTTCATCTGGCGCCATCATCAGGTTAACACTTGAATTTTTTAGCTGTTTTTCCCTTTTTTTTTGTTGTTGTTGGATAGGAGGGACACCTACCACCTACACAACAGCCTTTGAACAAGGACTCTTTCTTCTGGTTCTGTCATTATAGATTCAGTTCCTACTGGTCATTAATGTAATAAGAGTTTGATAACGGTCATAGAAAACGTAATGCACGTGTGGCTGCACATGTCTATATGTTTGAGTTACTTACTGAGCTACTTTATTTTCCATTCTTTGTTACCTTCAAAATAAATGCCTTATGTGTGGCGTGTATGTATGTGTGCGCAGAGCTGTGACAGTTCTGAATATACTCTGCAAGGGCCAGCAGGTGGCGATGACGTCACAGGGCTGTCAGCCGAGCCAGCCCACTACCAGCTACTGTCTGAGCTGGGTGAGAACACCACAACACACACACACACGCACTTGAATCAGACCATTACAGCAGCACTTAATTTCCCACCTGGATCTTTCACAGCAACGTCTAGGTGCAGTAAGATTTCACTTTCCAGTCAATTCTCTGTATCACAGGGAGGGGCTTCAATAACCTGAGCCAGGTGAACATGGCACGCCACATCCCTACTGGCCAGCTGGTGGCCGCCAAACATACCAACCTGGATGAGTGCACTGAGGAGGAGCTGCTGCAGCTCATGGTGAGTGAGTGCTTGTGGTTCTTCTTTTCAGAGCTTATTTTAGTGTAAAATTTTTGAGCTTCTTTCCATCTGTGTTTGTTTACATCTGATCGTGTCTCAAACCCCAGAACGAGGTTCTGCTTACCAGGCTGTTCCGTCACCCCAGCCTGCTGACCTCTCGTCTGGTTTTCAGCTCCTGCTGCCAGCTATGGGTCCTCACACCGCTCATGGCCTATGGTCAGCCACTGTCACACCTCACTTTGTGTTGTTTTGTCCCTAAAATCCATCAGATTTACTAGAGTCTGTTTTGATAAAAAATATATAATAAAAATATCTCTCTGTCGTTGTCCATTAAATTCAAAATATGTTCAAGTTTAATGGACAATAAGCAGTTTAACAGGAGAAATAAATGGAGAAATTGGTCTCAGACTATGATTCATCTGATGTAAATAATAATATAATAATAATAGTAAATTTAATATTTTGGGGTTTTGGACTGTTGGTCCGACAAAATGTGACATTTGAAGACATCACCTTAGCCTTTGAAAATTATTATGACCATTTTTCACTGCAGTCCCATAAGTTTTGGCATTAAATTGTAACCACTTAGAGATTATGAAACATAATGCTGTTTGTATTGGCAGAGAATAGCTTTTGGTGGTTTTGACATTCCTTATCAATGCATTTATTTATACAAAACCTTCTCAAGTCAAAATGATTGTGCCGCAGCCTCAAAATTCAGATAGATCACTACTGATTTTCTATGAGAAGTCATTTCCCCTCTCCTCTTGCCTGCAGGCTCTGCAGATACCTTACTAAGAACATATTTCCCAGATGGAATGAGTGAATCCCTGATAGCATACCTGCTGTACGGCGTGCTGAAGGCGCTGGAATACCTGCACCGGATGGGCTACGTTCACCGGTCAGTGGGGGACAGGAGACGTTAAAAGATATTACAAGGGAAGAAAGCTTTTGAAATCAAAAAGTTTTTTAATCTTAATGCACATATTCCTCTTCTCCTGGCAGGGGGGTGAAGGCCAGTCATATACTGCTGTCAGGGGAGGGGCGTGTCTACCTCTCAGGGCTCCACTGTGTTTACAGTATGATGCGTGAAGGCAAGAGGATGAGGGCAGTGTTTGACATGCCCCACCACAGCCCCGCCTTGTTGCCCTGGCTCAGTCCTGAACTACTGCGACAGGTCAGGACTCCCTAGATTAAGAAAGATGCTACCATATGACATGAGCTCCACTTTCTCATATTAGAGTATTTGCTCAACTAGACTACTGAACAAATGCATTATTTCCTCCTTTAATATTGTTCAAATCAAAGCTGGAGTGATGCAGTATTTCCAAATGGGGCTATTGTACCTAAAAGCTATATGTATCTCCTCTTTTTTTCAATAATAGCAATGCATATTTCAATAAGCAACAATATAGCAGTGCCAGTTATTTTAAACCTTTTTCTAATGGATTCTGTCTCCCCTCTGCTCATGGTGTTGCCCTCAGTAGGACCTGCATGGTTACGGAGTGAAGTCAGATATCTACAGTTTAGGTATCGTGGCCTGTGAACTGGTCAGCGGCAGGGTGCCTTTCCAGGACATGCCCCCGACTCAAGTAATAAAAACACTTCCGTGCATACTGCTTACAAAGAAGTGCATATTTAGCTTTAAAGGATTGGTTCATCCACAGTTTGCTTCATTGTTTGATTCTGGCTGTTCAGATGCTTCTTCAGAAGCTGCGCGGCTCCCACTGCTGCCTGCTGGACGTGGCTCCCTTCCCGTTGGGAGAGCTGGGGGGCCTGAAGGTGTCGCGGTCCGGGGTGGACTCCGGCATCGGGGAGAGCGTGGCCACGGGAAGTCTGACACACAGCGCCACCGCTCCTCCTGCCGACCGACCTCAGAGCCCAGGACCCAAAAACCACTCGGCCACCCTGCACAACCTGGTCCAGCTATGTCTGCAGCAGCAGCCCGAGCGCAGGTCATTACGTTAAAGGAACAGTCCGCTTCATTTGACAATTGAGCTGATATAATTGCATTCATATACAGTACAACAATACAGTCCTAAACGCAAATGAAAAGTGTTTGTCCTGTTTTTGTCTTCCGTAGACCGTCAGCGTCTGCACTGTTGACCCATGCCTTCTTCAAGCAGGTAGGCACTGTTGCCTGCTTTAGTCTAAAATCACTTCCTTGTGAACTTGTTGTTATGTCAACTTCCACAAGGCTTTTGCCGTCTGGAAAAATAATGTTCTGTTACAGCAAAGAAAACTACTTACTTAGGTGGAGTAAAATGTAAATCTGCACACATTAATTAATACAACACATAGAGCACTCGTGTTTAAATATATTCCATTGATTCTACTGTGTACATTAGGACTGTATATAAAGAAGCAAAAAATAGTTCATATCCACTCTGCTTGTGATAACTGCTCCTTCAGTGTTTATTCTTGTCCAAATATTTTGTTTTTATAGCAACTCATTCAAGACAATCTTAAGAATAGAAGGGAAATTCAGTGTGCCATGCAACTTGCAAAAGTTAGTCAAGAGGCTAATCATAAATGGCAACAAAGCATGCTGCCATGCTAAAATGCCGAATGTTACATGCAAAATGTCCACATTTGAACATCCAGTAGTTAATTTTAGCATATCAGCATAAAACCCAACTAGTGGTAAGAATCCTAGAATAGCAGTAAATAGCATAAGCTTTTTTTTTTTTTGCTGCTATTCACGGAGTGGCTCCATGGATGCCAGTGCTGGATGCACTGTATTCTGCGCCAGTGTTTGAGCAGAGTTGTGTTGTTCTGTGACAGGTAAAGAGGCACACCAGAGACTCCTTCCTCAGCCTCATGTACCCAGCAGTGCCGCTCACCAGCCCCGAGGACGCGCCGGTATCCTGCCCGCCCACCCCGTCCTGCCATGCTTCAACGTCAACCTCCGAGGCTGTGTGGGACTTCTCCTAACCCCAGTTCTTTACCCCCAAAATCTCCCAATCCTGACTAGCAAGCCAAACACAAGACAATCAAAGCAAGGCCAAATTCTACTGTGCTTTTATTTTGTATTATTAACCCGACTCTCTGAGCCTTTTTTAAGTAGTTTTGTAGTTTTTTATATGTTTGTCTGATGCATATGTGGAGTTCGGGTCATGGGTTTGAGACACAACTGTGAAAGTGCTGGATCAAAGACGCTGCTCTGATCATATAAAATGATATTAATAATGGACTGTCAACGAGTCCCAGGACAAAACACTAATCAGTTGACTAATAATCACGCACTTCCTCTGAGTTAAAAGGCAACTATGACTTAAAGGAAAACTCCACCCAGAAATACTTAACGTTTAAATCAGCTATTTGTGCTAAAATGTAAATGCCTGGGAACATTGTTTTTACAGTGTACTTTTCATATTTCTATGGATAATGGTTATTTTCTGGGTGACTGACCTGTTCTTCTCTGTTAAAGTCATTCAGAAAAATGAAGGACCTTGTTAACTGAATCATAAATGCATAAGTGAATACACTACAACATGTAAATCCTAAAAGTTACTGACAGAAATGATGTGAGGGTGGATTTTTCCTTTAAATTGTTATTCTGTATTCATACTGTGAATAGTGAATACTGAGGTACATAAAAAGATATTTACAACACACGTGCATATATATTCATCTATATAAGAGGTTTTCAAACTGTGAGTTGAAGGGGGCTGCGGAGTGAGAGGCGTGAGCAGCCATTTGTGTCAAAAATCGCACTCTTATCATATTTTAGATACAGAGTGACTTACACTTTCCGAGGAAACCATTATCTCTGATGCCCATCGAGAATAAACGTTCACAGATCTGCTTAGAAATTATAGGAAAAAAAACCCACTCCTTAGTAAGTTGCTGCAAACAGGAACTGCTAATAGGTAATACTTTTAATTAGGGTTGAGCGAGTACTCTGCTGAAACGAGTATCCGGTACAGATAATGTGGTTTTTACGAGTAGGAGTATCATCAGACTATATGTGTCAATATCTGTATTCTAATAAACAACATATACATAGGAACTTTTAGTTTTAAAAAAACATGTTCTCTTACTATTGTGATTAAAAACGTTGCCCTGAAGCGTAATTCTGAGGCTGTTCTGAGGCTTCAACCAATCGATTTCAGGTTTAAGTTAATCAACCGGCGTCCGTTTAAACCCCACCCATTCTTCATACAGATACGGATAAAGATAATTTAGTTGGTTGGGCAGATACAGACAATGAGAGCATGATTAAGCCCCGAATTTATATATGCATTGATTTATTTCATTCTGAATTGAAGTCTACACACTCTCCCAAATTTTAGGCGTTATTACCTTGATGCCAGTTTGAGACTGTATCAGAAATTAGACTTGATTTATTCAAAATATTCAGAAAACAATCAATTACGTAAATACATTTGTTTGTTTGAACATATATGCACATAGTGTTTATGTAGGCCTATAGTCACATTAAAATATGTTCACGTGTTTGCCCATGAGCAAATAAGACAACTTTAGTAAAACAAGCAATAGAATATATCTAGTGTTCCATGTAGGAGTTAGAAACCATCCCTGCCCTGATCATTAGTGATACACTAAATAATACTTCTACTGTGCTCTGTGACCACTTCTCCAACAATGCCTTTTTATTTGAATGAAACCTGCATTCTGAATATGGTGATCTATCTGTAACTGTGATTAAGTGTACTGTGTATGAGAACTGTGATCAGTACATATCAAACATGGTAGCTGTATGAGCCTTATAAATATATACACATATTATAAATGATATGTATATACAAAGTGTGATTTCTAAACTTTTTATTTTATTTTTTTTACCTTTGATTGATTTCTTTATAGATTCTAGTTGATAGAAAAGTGTTTGTATGTGTGTGTTTTGAAGGTACGCTCCATTCTGAAGTATACTACTTCTTAAATCCCTGAACTCTGATGGATCCTCAGAACTTGCATTTTCTTCCGTGTGGAAAAGATCCTGCTCTGAGCTCTATTTTTAATCACATTTGTAGAAAACCAACAGGTAAAAACATCACCCCATCCTTTTTCTTACTCAATGGTTTAATAATAAAACACTTGCACTCTGCTGCTCCACTAGATGGCAATACAACATCAAAACACACCGATGGAGCTCTGCCACCAAGCCCAGCCCTTAGCAACCACGTAAGTTAGCTCCACATCGACAACGTAAAGTGGGTACACTGTCGCAAACACACCGAGGAATGTGATGTATTTTTTTTAACGTTAAATACGCTATAAAAGAAACACGTATAGTGTATCGAAACTGCAGCTTGTGCCGTGTTCGCTTGTTTGGTAGTATGTTTATGCCAGTAGCTGCAGTGTATTATGGGTCCGGTTTGCCTACCAAATTAAAGGTTCGTCTTTTAATGTGCATACCCCCATAATGCGCCATATTATATTCCTTTGCAAACATTATTGTACCACACCACTCTGCGACTAGCGTTAACATGTAAAGTTACATATATTATATAGCCTAGGCCTAGAATAATGTTATTGTTCAGTTCACTTCAATGAGCTTTACTGGCATGAACGTTTCAGTTAAACAATGTTGCCAAATCAAAAAGTTTACATTTTAATATAACATAATGAGTGAATTTAGTAATTGTAAGTTACAACAAGAATTACTGACAATATTAACTATATTTTATTTGACTCAAGTGAAAAATACCAAACGTTCAACAATAGAAAAAGTATTTTGAAAATACTCTAAAGCACAGTTTATCAGGTTGCAATCAAACGAATTTAAGAGAACGAGTTGAAACAGTAAATACAAATGTTTTGTGATCTCTCTTATTTAGAAATAAATCCGCGTTTTCTTTGACCGGAAGTCGCTGTTTCCTTGTAAGCGCGGTGTCGTTGTCGGCAACTTGACACATTTGCAACAACTCGTCAGTGACAGTTTGTCTTTGCGTTTCACAGGTGAGTGGTCTTCAGTTTCTCGACGGGTTTGATCAATTTTATCAGGGACTCGTACGTTTATTCTTTTTTTTGTAAGGGATTCCTGTAGCCGGGGCAGGCTGGGAAGGACGAGGCGTTTCTTTCACACGAGGAGGAGGAGAAAGGGAGGCAAAAAAAATAGAAATAGGCTTTTTTGACAGCTAGCTTTTAGCTAGCTTGGTCCAGGTAAGGTCGGCTCATACTGTAATGTTTACCGAGGATAACCTGAGGCGTTGTACAGCCGCCCGGGGCGAGCGAGTCCGATTGTAACTTAGCTTGTTTGTAGAGCACTCAGCAGAGACAGACATCATTAATGGTGTGTGTTTTTGCCGTGTTAGTTGAACTAACCATCGCCTCAGTGTGTCTGCGCCTGGAGCCAGCAGGGCAGCTCAAAGTGCACAAGAGAGTAGTAACGTTACTGAAAGTGTGTTGACGCTGCTTGCAGGGAAATAGTTTCGCCATTCGTTAGACCTTGACAAAACATCCGCTTTTGTGATATGTAATTGTATGTGTTGTCAGCGCAAACACTGCTGGGAATACCCTCTGGTCCTCCGAGAAGAGACGAAGAAGTGGCAGCACAGGCCCGGCTGCACCAAGTGCTCTCTGGGACTAGACAGCTCTCCTCTGTCATGGAGTAATCTTTTGGAAACCATCGTCCATTGCATCTTTTGAAGGAGTGCTACGCCTCGCTAGAGTCGGACCCAGTCACGATGTTGAGCGTTGAAGGCCAGCTGCAGAGGTTTAGCTCATGACTGAAAACCATGAAGCAGCCAGGGAAGTGATCTCGGTGCACGCTACACCCTAAAGGGTGCCCCCCTCTCTGGCACCATGGCATCCAAGGAGAGACTGTACGAGGTCTGGATGCTCTACTGCACTAAGGTAAGTTGTATTCCTGTGCTCACACACTTCCACTGTGGCTGTTTTGTCTCCTGTGGACATGTCATTAAGTTAAGTAATGGACAGCATGATGGCATGTCCTCCCAGTCAAAGAGGTTATTCTTTTTTTGGCATTTATATTTTGGAAAGCCTACTCTTACTGGCTGTGTTCATAACAGTTTAAGCATATCTGATATCAATTAAATGAATGTGCGATTTCAAAGCTTGTGCTGACAGACATTTTTAAACCAAAGCCACTGTTTAGCATGTTTTTACATCCTGCGTTACACTTTTCATGATGCAAAAGCCTCTCAAACGGCATATAAAACATTACAGGAATCTAAAACGCTCCAGTAAACCCAGACTAATGAAATTGCGTGCAGATCCTGAAGGATTTATTAGTAGGGTGCATATTAGGCTTAGAAATGAATAATTAATGTACAGAGAACCAATGAAACTTACTGTCAGTTTATCTATAGCTGTGGTTGAATAAATAAAATGTGATAGTTTTCAAAAAGTGAGCGCCATCCAAATTCACTCTAAACAAAGATCTAGCAGTTCAAGACTAAAAATACAACACTATAAGGGATGCTATGTGGTCATGTGAGGCTGTAAAATCAATCTGTGGTAGGATGGGGCGCTGCTGCAGTGTACTGCTTTGTGTTTACAGTGGAGATGAATGAAAGACACTCTAGAAGAGACAGCACCCCTGCCTTGAGTCAGCTGCTGGCTAGATTTAATTCACTTGGCGATAAAGCATGAGCACGTCCTGGCGTCCAATCAAAAGGGCCTGCCTGAGCTGCTCCTCACGTGAGCCTGGCTGCAGTCACACTTACTTCCCACAGTAATCCCTCCCAATAACACAAACGCACACTCAGTACTCAACCCTCTCTGAAGTATTTACCCCATAAAAGCAAATCTGTTTTCTGCAAGTTCAGGATGTAAAACTGAATAATCCTCACCCCAAGAAGTAAAGTGTGGAAGCTTGAATGCTGACACAAAGAGAATATGTGATAATGCCAGTTGTACGGGTGTTTGCGGTTCCTACAGAAGTATTCAGTCACACTGCTGCCCGCACACACTTGTCACAGTCACTTGTCAAAATGCCGACAATTGCTGCAGGCATTCACATCACATTTGTTCTAGCAGGAGTGTGTATTTGCATTGACTAAGCATTACACTGCGAGGAAGCATCGTTTCATTTCATCCTGGCTTTGAGCCCGGGTCCACTGGGACAATATTTCTCTCTGCGGGGGGCAAAAGAGCCGCTGAGAGAAAAGCATTTAAATATATAGCGTTTAACTGTCATTCCCCCCCCCCCTCTCGAGCAGCTAAAATGTCAGGTTTAGCCAGCGGGGTGTCTGTGCACTATATATGTGCGTGTATGTGAGGGTTGCCAGGATATGTTGCTGGCTGTAAGGAGAAGCTGCAGTCACGTGGCCTAAATCAGATGAGGAATGTTGGTGTGAAAGCTCTGAGACCCCCACTGATCCCACGAAGGGTTAATTGTTTCACAACCTCCCCTTCTCAGCCTCTTGTTTATCTAAAACCAGCACAACCATATTCTTAATCTTACTGTGTGTGCAAGGAAATACTAATTGTATGTTGTTATTGTAGAATCAATCACCGCCACACGGGTGGTTTGGTTGCATTCATGTGTTTAGTAAGTATTGTCCAGGGTTTCGTATACTCATTTTTGTTGGCATTTTAGGGTTACATTTAAATTAATTATCAGATTTTGATATATTCAGTTCACCTAGTACCATATTGCCACTGATCATAAATACAGAATTCAAGCAACACCAATTTATACTAGATGCTGTGATTCAGAGAGAGGACTTGGAAGGTGTTTTGTTCTTGTGCTCATCATTGGTCCCTCGTGCCATGTGTCCGTTTAATGATTGACAAAACAGTGGAGACATCGCTGCCTTCAATGTCAGAGGTTAACACTGCTCTCTGAGGAGGAGTCAGTCCGATGTGTGCTGTTGACAGTAGAAGCTTGTACAATACAAGCAGCCGAGGGTCACATTAGGAGAACCAGCTCGTCCTGCTCCGTCAGCTGTCTTATCTTTGTGTTAGGGGTGGGCGATAATATGGTCAAAGTCTTCTGTCGGTACATACGGTATATGTCATTTTATATAATCGTAATGCGGTATATATCACGATCATTGTTGTTTAAATTCAATTAAGAAATGGCTTAAAATAGAGCCACAGCTATCGTTTATTTTAGTAATCGAGTATTCTTAAGATTATTTCATTGAGTAACTGGATAAGAAGTACTTTTACTTGGCGCCCTGGGTACCAGGATCTGCTGTGTAACTCAAATCACTGTAATGTTGCAACCCAAACTCAGGGACTAACCAGTTAGAGAACAATCGCACGGTTATACATTTACATCTAAGACTGATGTGTGGACTGGATGTGGTCGTGCTGTTGTGGTAGGCGCTAGTTTCGTTATACGAGTTTCTGAAATATTTCAGCCCTAGCTTAAAATAACCATACCGTACATTATTTCATCACATCTTCTTGTTTTTGGAGCTTCCATACAAACAAAAACAACTCCCCCTGCTCTTTATTTACAATTTTTCTTGCTGCCTCCATGTTTTCTTGTCACACTTTTTTTTTCTTCCAGCTTAGAAGTGCGTTTCTGCCACCAGCTATAGCTCTCACATCACATAAAAACTTGGTAAGCAGTGCTGCCCAATTACGTTTCCGTAAGAGATCACATGAGAATCCAGCCCTTATTTGCGACATATCCTGCCCCGAATATATAGCAGAGTTGCTGAGGGATAGCTCCTACGCTGGAAACGGGATTGCCAAATCTCCACGGGTGGACACATTTTTACCACTGAACAATATGTTGTCATATTGTTAGTGTTGGGTATCGTTTCAATTTGATTTCAGATTCTGATTGTACTTATTGATTTGGATATTGCACTTTGCCATATTGCAAT